TTTTTTTTTTTGAGACGGAGTTTCACTCATGTTACCCAGGCTGGAGTGCAATGGCATGATCTCGGCTCACCACAACCTCCGCCTCCTGGGTTCAGGCAATTCTCCTGCCTCAGCCTCCTGAGTAGCTGGGATTACAGGCACGTGCCACCATGCCCAGCTAATTTTTTGTATTTTTAGTAGAGACGGGGTTTCACTATGTTGACCAGGATGGTCTCGATCTCTTGACCTCGTGATCCACCCACCTCGGCCTCCCAAAGTGCTGGGATTACAGGCTTGAGCCACCGCGCCCGGCCTCCAATAATGCACTTCTAAATAGAGTTGTCTCTCAGTATATGTGGGGAACTAGTTTCAGGACCCCCACATGTACCAAAATCCATATACATACTCAAGTCCCACAGTCAGCCCTATAGAACCTTATTATTATTATTATTATTATTATTTTGAGATGGAGTTTCACTCTTGTTGCCCAGGCTGGAGTGCAATGGCATGATCTCGGCTCACTGCAACCTCTGTCTTCCAGGTTCAAGCAGTTATCCTGCCTCAGCCTCCCAACTAGCTGGGATTATAGGCATGCATCACCACGCCTGGCTAATTTTTTGTATTTTTGGTAGAGATGGGATTTCACCATGTTGGCCAGGCTGGTTTCAAACTCCTGAGGTGATCCACCCACCTTGGCCTCCCAAAGTGCTGGGATTACAGGCGTGAGCCACCGCGCCTGGCCAGCCCTGCAGAACCTTATGCAACAAATTAATTGGCCCTCTGTAAACATTGGTAGGTTTTGCTTGTTTTTAAGTATGAGGGGAATTTCTTACCTCAGCATGTTTAAATATTCTCCATTTCTTTTGAATAGCTTATAGTATCCCTTTGCCTTTACAATTTATGGATGTCCAGGAGTCTTTCTTCTGAAATTATGATTTCCCTTCCTATGTTGAATTTTTTTAAAAGCCTCTTTTATTTCAGAGAATTTTAAACTATTTTCTGTGATTGTGATAATTAAGTGTAGCAAAATCCTTTTCATTATTATTGAACCATAGTAGCTATGCTTCTTTAATGAAGAGAAATACGTATTTCTTTATTTCTTTTATAGATAGAAACTGGTTGAGTAATTTATGAACATACCATTTTGTTGATGTTTTGAGTATATGAATGTGTATTATAAGAACAGTCCTTATAACATATATTTTGCTCCTTTTTTCCTACTCTTTAGAATAAAGATATTCAGCCTATAAAATTTCTAATCAAACACCAACAAGAAGTGAAGATTTATTTTCCCATCATTCTTACACCCAAATTTCTGGCATTTCCTTATCATCCTATGGGAATGTTATATCATTATAAAGTACAGGTATGGTGTCCTAGAAGGCTTCACAAAGAGATAAGCTGGTTTCTCTGATAGATTAATTTATTGAAAATTTATTAATGTCAGGTTTATTTCCTCCCAATCCTAAGAGTATAACTTGGGTTTTGGTGACAATCAAAATTATACTCTTGAATAATGTCATCTATAACAAGACTTGGTTACAGTGCTTTCTGTCTCTCTTCCCAATATCTTTTCCTGGTGAATTTTATAAAATTCTGTTGTGTCTTTTTTTGATATTTTGTGAAACTACGATGACTTTGCCTCTCTTTAGTATTTCTCTTGCCCATTAAGCTGCTTTACTATAGTGTCACAGTTCCCTTTTTTTTTCCCCCCTGAGATGGAGTTTTGCTCTTGTTGCCCAGGCTGGAGTGTAATGGTACAATCCCGGCTCACTGCAACCTCCAACACACAGGTTCAAACGATTCTCCTGCTTCAGCCTCCAGAGCAGCTGGGATTACAGGCACGAGCCACCATGCCCAGCTAATTTTTGTATTTTTAGTAGAGATGGGGTTTCGACATGTTGGCCAGGCTGGTCTCGAACTCCTGACCTCAGGTAATATGCCCGCCTCAGCCTCCTAAAGTGCTGGGATTACAGGCGTGAGCCACCGCACCCAGCCTAGTGTCAGAGTTTCTAATGTGTCCAAAAATAATTTATTAAATTATGTTATTATTTTGTAAACTTTATTTCACCAGACAAGTTTTACATTTTCACTTAAATTTTGTTTTCTTCCTATTGTAATTAAATGTAATGTACATTTTCACAGGTAGAGGGTGGCAGTGGCAACTTTACCTGGACTTCTTCTAATGAAACAGTGGTCATGGTAACCATGAAAGGAGTGGTGACTGCAGGTCAGGTCAGGGGGAACAGTACTGTTTTGGCCCGAGATGTACAAAATCCCTTTCGATATGGAGAAATTAAGGTAAACAGCTCTCCAAAGGTTCTTATTACCGCTACAACACTACTGTCTAAATTTAAGTACATTAACACATTTTTAAAAATACCTAGTCCAACTTGACTATTTAAAAATATTACTCACATTCAGTCTAGAAATACTTTTTTTTTGAAAGGAAATCTTGCTCTTGTGGCCCAGGCTGGAGTGCAATGGCACAATCTCGGCTGACTACAATCTCCACCTCCCATGTTCAAGAGATTCTCCTGCCTCAGCCTCCTGAGTAGATGGGATTACAGGGACCTGCCATCACACCCGGCTAATCTTTGTAGTTTTAGTAGAGACAGGGTTTTGTCACGTTGGCCAGGCTGCTCTCAAACTCCTGACCTCGTGATCCGCCGGCCTCAGCCTCCCAAAGTGCTGGGATTATAGGCATGAGCCACTATACCTGGCCAGATATACATATTTTAAAAATATTTCTGTGACTAGATTGACTCTTGCTTCACTTAATAGTCACTTATTTAACATCTATGTTTGTTTCCTCATAGGATGATGTTAGTATCTACCTCAAAGGTTATTATTAGAATGTTTTTAACTGGAAAATTTTGGAAATAAGACGATGAAATGCATTCTGTATTTATTATACTAATTGTAAAAACACATGCAAAACTGAAAACAGTAATAGGTAACATTTTGAGCACTTTTACAGTGCTGTATGTGTTCAGAGAAACTTCCCTTGTAATGAACTGTAGAAATGGTAACTGAAAGTATAGTCTTTGTTATCAGGATTAAATGAGTTAGGGTTTACCCCAGTGCTTAGCATATATTTACTATTTAATTAATGTTGGCCAGGTGTGGTGGCTCATGCCTGTAATCCCAGGACTTCGGGAGGCCAAGGTGGGTGGATCACAAGGTCAAGAGATGGAGACCATCCTGGCGAACACAGTGAAACCCCAACTCTACTAAAAATATGAAAATTAGCTGGCCATGGTGGCACACACTTGTAGTTCCAGCTACTCGGGAGACTGAGGCAGGAGAATCACTTGATCCGGAGAGGAGGAGGTTGCAGTGAGCTGAGATCGTGCCACTGCACTCCAGCCTGGGTGACAGAGCGAGACTCCATCTCGAAAGAATGAATGAATAAAAAATAAATGAAATATTTAATTAATGTTAACTTTTTTGTTATATACATATGATTTTTAAATGGCCTTTATAGTAACTTTATCTCTAGTGTCAAATTTTGGTTTGTCAATCTGTTTCTAAAAGATTGAAAATTTTTTAGTATATTATACAATAATTTTTCTATTTTTTTCCTTTTTTTTTTCAATTTTGAGACTGAGTTTTGCTCTGTTGCCCAGGCTGGAGAGCAACGGCATGATCATAGCTCACTGTAGGCTCACACTCCTATAGTCAAGCAGTCCTCCCACCTTGGCCTCTCAAGTAGCCAGGACTACAGACACATACCACCCACATACTTAATTTACTATTTTTGTAGAGACAGGGCCTTACTATGTTGCCCAGGCTGGTCTCAAACTCCTGGCTTCAAGTGATCCTCCTGCCTTGGCCTTCCAAAGTGCAAGGATTACAGCTGTGAGCCACTGTACCCAGCTCCATTTTTTAAAATTTTAAAATTTTTAGATGAAGTCTCTCTCTGTCACCCAGGCTGGAGTGCAGTGACATGATCTCAGTTCACTGCAACATCCGTCTTTCAGGTTCAAGCAATTCTACTTCAGCCTCCTGAGTAGCTGGGACTATAGGTACATGCCACTGTTCCTGGCTTATTTTTTGTATTTTTAGTAGAGATGGGATTTCACCATTTTGGCCAGGCTGATCTCAAACTCCTGACCTCAAGTGACCCACCCACCTCGGCCTTCCAAAGTGGTGGGATTGTAGGCGTGAGCCACTACATCCAGCCCCCAGCCCCTTTTATAATATATGTTGCTGTTCTCTATAGGATTTAACAGTTTGCCATCACTCAGTGAACATATATTATCTTGTAGGTATTATAGGACATCCAGAGATACGTAACACATGATACCTATCTTAAAGAATTTAAAGTCTAACTAGGAAGTTATATTGACGTGTAAGGTTATATAGCATTTTAAGAGAATGATATGTGAGATATTTTAAAGCCCTGTATGATTGAGAACTACTTGAATTGTACAGTAAGTGCTATGAGTTTGTAAAAGAAAAATCCTTGTGTATGGGACTGTTGGAGACTATTACAAAAGAGGTGGGAACTTGAATAAGACTTTTGGAGGGTGGAATAAAAGTAAGGGCCAAGGGTTAAATTCAGAGTGTTGCCTTATTTGATAAATAAACTTTTATCAGGGCCAGGCGCGGTGGCTCACGCCTGTAATCCTAGCACTTTGGGAGGCCGAGGTGGGTGGATCACCTGAGGTCAGGAGTTCACAACCAGCCTGGCCATCATGGTGAAACCCCATCTTTTAAAAAAAATAAAATAAAAAATTAACTTTTATCAGAACACAGCTACTCCCATTCATTTACATACTGTCCGTGGCTGCTTTCAAGCCACAGCTGCTGAGTTAATAGTTACCATGGAGACCATGTAGCCTGAATAAGTCTAAAATGTTTACTATCTAGCTCTTTATGGAAAGTTTTGCCAGCCCTTGCTGTAGACAATGGGGAACTAATACAGGCTTTTAACAGGTCAATGGTATGGCAAGGTCTCTGTTCTGAAAGATATCTAATTATTTTTATAATCAGACAATAACAGCCATAATAATAATAAAAAAAAGTTTCTGGTGTTATAGACCAGTAGATTAGAATGGATTGAAGGGAGAAAGTGAAGGCAAGGACTTTTAAGATTGAACTAGTGAAATGATATTGAGAATAGAAGGATACAGACAAAATGAGAATCTTTTTTAATAGGTAAACTCAATCAGATTTGATGCCTACTTGAGCAAAGAAGAATGAAACATTTAAAGCCACAGAGATCATGTGGAGGTTTCTTACTTCGGCAGCGGGGTGGATAGAAAATACAAGAGGCTGGGAGTGGTGGCTCATACCTGTAATCCCAACACCTTTGGGATGCCAAGGCAGGAAGATGGCTTGAGGCCAGGAGTTCAAGACCAGCATGGACCACAAAGGAAGACCCCATCTCTTAAAAAAAAAAATTAGCCAGGCAAATGGCTCGTGTGTGTAGTCCTAGCTACTGAGGCAGGAGGATAGCCTGAGGCCAGAGTTGAGGTTACAGTGAACTCTGATCACAACTCTGCACTCTAGCCTGGGCAAGAGTAAGACCCTGTCTTTTAAAAAAAGAAAATAAAATAAAAAACAAAGGAAAAGATAATGAGTTTAGTTTTGGGCACACTCAACGTAATTCACCTATGGAGCATTCAAGTGAATGTTTTTAGTTGGAAATAGGGATCTGAAGTTCAATTAAAGATTAGGGCGGGAGAGTTAGCATATAGTTAGTCATTGAAGCTTTGGGACTGGATAAGATTTCCCAGGAAGAACATATAGAATCAGAGAGAAGATGGATCCTGTGTAGTGTAAATGTCACTTTAAGAAACATAGGCAGAGGAAGAGGAACTAGCAAAAGAAACACAGAAAGTGGCAAAAATGACAAAATAAAAGATATTTTATTTATTAATTTTTGAGATGGGGTCTCTGTTGCCCAGTCTCAGTGCTGTGGCATGTTTGTAGCTTATTCCAGCCTTGACCTCCCTGACTCAAGTGATCTTCCTACCTCAGTCTTCCGCGTAGCTGGGACTACAGGCATGTACCACCACACCCAGCTAATTTTTTAGTTTTGTTTTTGTAGAGATGGGGTTTCGTTATGTTGCCCAGGTTGGTCTCAAATTCCTGGACTCAAGAGATCCTCCTGCCTCCTGGCCTCACAAAGTCCTGGGATTATAGGCATGAGCCACCACACCTGGCCAAAAGATACTTTAAAAAGATATCAAAAGAGAGGAAGTGCTCTAAGTCAAAGGCAAACTTTTTCTGTAAAGAACGAAATACATTAGTCTTTACAGGCCACTTACAGTCACAAACTCATATTCTTCTTTGTGGTTGTTATTGTTGTTTTTATTTTACAACCTTTTTAAAATGTGAAAACTGATCTTAGCTCATTGTACAAAAACAGGTTGTATACAGACTGTAGTTTGCCAGACCCCTCCTATATGGAGTTAGATGCTAAAAGAGATCAGTGAATTTAAAAATGTAGAGTGACATGTTTAGCACCGTGTGTGTGTCTATGTGCCTATGTATGTGTGTGTATGTGTGTGTGTGTATAAAACGGACCTGGAGTTGCCTAAGGAGGGGTGAACTGCAGGAGGGGTGAACTGGCCCAGGTCAGAAATGGAGCAGGTCAAAACTCACATGCTGATCAGTAGTGGGATCTCACCTGTGAACAGCCACTGCACTCCAGCCTGGGCAACATAATGAGACCCTGTCTCTTAAAAAAAAAAAAAAAAAAAAAAAGAAAGAAAGAAAGAAAGAAAGAAAAGAAAAGAAAAAAAAAAAACAGACCTGGACCACTATATTATGTATAATGTAAATAGCATATATATAATGTGTTTATATATGTTGATGTGTATGCAAACATTTAAGGAATGATCTCTTCTAAGTCTTTTTCTTAAAATTGTATACATATATACAAAATTGTCTACATTTTTTTTTTAGATAGAGTTTCTCTCCCATCACCCACACTGGAGTGCAGTATGCTCTCAGCTCACTACAACCTCCACCTCCTTGGCTCAAGCAATCCTCCTGCCTCAGCCTCCTGAGTAGCTGAGACTGCAGGCATGCACCACCATGCGCAGCTAATTTTTGTATTTTTAGTAGTGACAGGGTTTCAGCATGTTGGCCAGGCTGGCCTTGAACACCTGACCTCAGGTGATCCACCCACCTTGGCCTCCCAAAGCACTGGGATTATAGGCATGAGCCACTGTACCCAGCTTTTTTTTTTTAATCTTCTTTTTTTAAACAGGGTCTCACTCTGTCACTCAGGCTAGACTGCAGTGGTGCAACCTCAGCTCACTGTAATCTCCGCCTCCCGGGTTCAA